ATTATTAGTTTTGCAGAGACAAGGTCTTGCCATGTTGTCTACGCTGGTCTAAAACTCCTGGGCTCAAATGATCCTCCTGCCTTGGCTTCCCAAAGTGCTGGGATTACATACATGAGCCACTGTACCCAGTCAATTTTGCTCCTTTTCAAGGTTGTTTTGGCTATTTGGGGACTCACGGGATTCTATATAAATTTTAGGATGAAGTTTTTTCTATTTTTGCCAAACATATCATTGGAATTTTGATAGGAATTGCATTGAATATACAGATCATTTTGACATCTTAACAATATTAGTCTTCCAACCCAGAAACATAGATGTCTTTCAATTTATTTCTGTCTTCTTTAATTCTTCTCAGTAATGTTTCAGTGTACAAGCCTTTCATCTCCTTGGTTAAGCTTATTCCTGAATATTTTATTCCTTTTGAGGCTAATATAAATGAATATTTGTTTAATTTTCTTTTCAAATTCTTCATTGTTAATGTATAGAAATGCAAGTGATTTTGGTGCGTTGCTTTTCTATCCTGCAACTTGGGTAAATTTGCATATTGGTTGTAACGGTTTTTTGTGGAATCTTTAGGGTTTTCTACGTATAAGATGATGCGAATAAAAATAATTTTACTTCTTCCTTTTCCATTTGGATGCCTTTTATTTCTTTTTCTTGCCTGATTGTTCTGGCTAAAATTTCCAATACTGTGTTGCATAGAAGTGGTAAAAGCAAGCATCCTTGTTTCTCATCTTGGAGTAAAAGATTTCAGTCTTTCACTACTGAGTATGACGCTAGTTTTGGGTTTTCCACACCTGCTCTTTAACAGATAGGCTACGGTAGTTTCCTCCTATTCCTAGTTTGTTGAGTACTTTTATTATCAAGGTGTATCAAATTTTGTCACATATTTCTCTGCATAAATTGAGATGATTGTGAGGGATTTTCCCCTTTCCTTCTGTTAATGTGGTATGTTACACTGATTGAATTTTGTGTTATTTTTAAATTACAGTCATGTGCCACATGTTTTGGTCAAGGAGGGGCCACATATACAATCTTATTATAAGATTATAATACTGTATCTTTACTGTAACTTTCTACATTGAGATATACAAATACTTACCATTTTGTTACAATTGCCTACAGTATTCAGTACAGTAACATGCTGTACAGATTTACAGCCTAGGAAGAATAGACTATGTCATATAGCCTAAGTGTGTAGTAAGCTTGTGTAAGTATACTAGGTTTGTGTAAGTACACTCTGTGATGTTCACACAACAAACCGCCTAAGGATGCATTTCTCAGAAAGCGTCCCTGTCATGCATGACTCTAAGTGATGCATGACTGTATTGAATAATAATCTAGATCCAAAAATTCACATAATTTTTAAATCTAGTTTTTTGAAAAGGATGAAATTATGTTTAATTTTTAATTTCCACTGGTCATTCTTTAAAGCAATAAAGATGAGATAAAATTCATAATTTTGAATTTATAGAAAATTGCTAGCTAATTCACAGGTAACAAAAATGGACAGAAAAGGTTTCAAAGGATTTCAGACCCAACTGTAACTCTTAAGAATCAACAGCCAAGAATAAATAGAGATACAGAAAGTTAACTGACCCTTATTTTGTATCCCAGAGACTACATTGGAGCAAAACTGATAGAAAACCCACTAAAGTTCTATAGGTGTCACATCACCAGTAAAACCTCAGGCCCAATAACCAGGAACTCATCCTGATGCACACCAACACTACAGAAAAAATCTTGGTCTTTTAAACAATTTCCAACCCAATAATTTTTAAAAAGATGCAAGCAACAGCCCCAAGTTGAATCCTTTAAAGCATACATAGAACCAAAGCATTGTTATTGAAGGAAGAAAGGGAAAGAACAAGGGATAAACAGTCAGTCTGGAAAGATTTATACCAAACTATTTATTACAGTCATTAACTCAAAACAATGTACCACCATACCCAGCTAATTTTCTTATTTTGACAAAAATTTTAAACATCGTAGATCAACTGTAACTTTTCCAATTGGCTTATTAAGATTTCTTTCCAGTGGGGCACGGTGGCTCACGCCTGTAATCCCAGCACTTTGGGAGGCCAAGGCGGGAGGATCATGATGTCAGGAGATCGAGACCATCCTGGCTAACATGTTGAAACCCCGTCTCTACTAAAAAATACAAAAAATTAGCCGGGCATGGTGGCGGGCGCCTGTAGTACCAGCTACTCGGGAGGCTGAGGCAGGAGAATGGGGTGAACCTGGGAGGCAGAGGTTGCAGGAGGTTGCAGTGAGCCAAGATCGTGCCACTACACTCCAGCCAGGGCAACAGAATGACACTCCATCTCAAAAAAAAGAAAAGAAGAGTTCTTTCCATGGTTTCAGCTTACATTCCTGCAGGGCATAGACCTGCACTACCAAGAAAAGCAGGGACTGCCCTTATTTATTTCTTTAAACTATGGCTCTTACATCCCATTAAGGTAATTTATTTCACTAAATCCCTGGATACTATTTAAAATTTCTATCAAAATATTAACTCTTTTACTGTCAGTTATAAATTTATAGGAAAGTGAAAACACAAAAATCAATATTTAGTATACTATAACTTAAAACATTAGAAAAATTGAAAATTAACTTGGCTCACTTGGCACACTGGCTCACATCTGTAATTCCAGCACTTTGAAAGGTTGAGGTGGGAAGATCACATAAAACCAAGAGTTCTACACCAGCCTGGACAATATAGCAAGACCCTGTCTCTACAAAAAATAAAAATAAAAAAATTAGCTGGGCATAGTGGTACACATCTGTAGTCCCTGCTACTCAGAAGGCTGAGGTGGGAGGAACACTTGAGCTCAGGGGTTCAAGGCTACAGTGAGTTATGACTGTACCACTGTACTCTAGCCTGGACAACAGAAAAAGACCCTATCACTTAAAAAAAAAAAAAAAAAGCAAAGAAAATTAACTTATCAAGAGTAGTTTGAACAGAGTTTGTTCTCTTATCAGTGTTTAACTCATGATACTGAGGAAGTATCTTTTGTATTCCTCAGTAAATTATCAAGCTCCTTTCTAAGTCTGGATCAGCTTCCAACATTTTATCCTTTGCATTTTCAATGTTCTCAACTATCTCCTAGAGTTCCTTTAATGAATGTGAGGTCTTCTGCCGGCAGAACTTCCTCTGAGACAGCTTCATTTTCTTCAACAAAATCACTTTCATCATTTATGCTGGTTGAAAATCTCACCTTTACCAAGCTCCTCCAGCTATAAATTCAGAGTCTCTTAAAAACTTGTAATGTCCATAGTTCCACAGCCAGCTATTTCTGTATAACTTCATTTATATTCTACCTGATTTTCATTACATGTTATCACTTTTCATTTCTCTGCTGTACTTTCAGTTTGTTGGGCAAATGCCTCTTTCAATTATTCATTTCTGTAAAATGTCACATGTGTTTCTTGCTGGGAGACAAAGAGGCAACACAACTACATGCTTTGTTGTCTGTGCATAAACTGAGTAACAGATGCACAGTGACCAATCGCTGACAGATTTTGAAAGAAGTGACATGATTGGTCATGGATCATGATACATGTTTGTAATTTATATAGTTATTTGTAGAATGAAGAGCTAGCAGTCAAGTTTGTACATTATCCAAGTACACAATTAATATACCATGGTAAATGAAATTTGAACCATATTGTTAGGGGATTGGTGTTACTTAACTAAACTGTAGTAATTGAAATTCATGTGTACAAAAGCCATGCAAAGCAAGAACTGCCTGCCCATAAATCCTCTTATGTATAAAGCATAACATTAACAAATCAAAAATTTACAATGGAATCCTCAAAATTGCCCCTACACTGCCAAATAGCATAAACATGAAAGCACGGATCAAGTCACTTATAGATGTCCTACAGATACAATTAGTTCTTGACTTTAATATATTTCATTATCATACCACCTCACTTTTTAACAGAGCATGCTAATACCTGTTAACCATCTTTCTTAAATGTAATTTGGACTTTAATATATCAAGAAAGGAAGAGAGATCTGAAGCTCTCATATGATGGCACTGCCTGCTGGAAAACAGTATTGTTTTAGTTGTGTCATCGCCTTATTACAGTAGTTTATTTATGCAATTATGCAAATGTATTCAATTTTGACCTTATTATATAAAATTAAGTGGAAAATAAGATCAGCAATGGTGATGAGAAATAGTATTAATAAGAAAAATCGGTTTTATGAATTTGATTCCACTGAAACAAAAGCAAAACTCCTTAGCATCAGATAGTCACTAGAATTAAGCAAGTTTCTCTGTGAATGTGGAAAAACAAATGAGATCTAGAGAGTGCAACACAACTTGCAAACCTATTTTACTAAAGATGGTATATACAGCTAAAACCCTGGAAAAATAAAAAATTAAAATTAAAAAATTAAAAATAATTAAGGAACTATATTATATCCTTAGTTCTCTGGCAATAGAATCCTCATAACTTATTTATCAATTGTTTATGTTTTGCTTTACAGCTGAACACTGGTGAATGCTCTTATATTTAATAATATTTATTAGAAGTTCTAGGCTTCTAAACTGAATAAAGTTTTTCTATTGGTAGTAAGAGAATTTGAAAAACAGATGAAAGTATGCTCACAACATTTAGGCTGTGAAAGGACAAAAAATCATTCTTCAGTATCCCTCTTTGTAGGAGGTCAAAATAGGCTTGTATATCATCTTATTTTGTCTTCAAAATGACTAATACCTTATTCTCATAGTAGAAATACCTTGAAATTAGATACAGGGAAATTAAAACAAAGAAAAGATAAAATTAAAACCTAAGTTTCTTGATTTTTGATACTTCAATAATGTACCTTTTTGTTTAACATTTTTAGACAGGAAATTCTAAGTTAATATTAACAGCAAATAGAATATTAGACTTGGTATTTAACATATTATTTAATATATATATTTAATATAGTATAACCACTGCTTGTCCATTTTTCCAAAATTGAAGTAAACAAGTATTTTACCTACCCCAACAATCCGCTTCATAGCATCCAATTTAGCAGAATCTTTGTTGCTCTCTAACATTTGCTTTAGATCTTCATTCCTATTACAAAAGAGAAGGAAAAAAATCCATACTTTGATTTTTATAATAGGTAGCTTAAAATACATCATTTTCATAAGAATTAGAAATAATATCATGGGCAATGTTAAGTAACTGCAGCAAGAAGGTCGCCATCTGCAGGCCAGGGAGAGAGGCCTCATCAGAAACCAAACTCGCCAACACCTTAATCTTGTACTCCCAGGCACTAATTGTGAGAAAATTAATTTCTGCTGATTAAGCCACCCAGTCTGTGGCATTTTGTTATGGCAGCCCTAGCAAACTAATACAAGCGTTAAATGTTACAAACTGTCATTGCAAGAAAAAAAAAAAAGTAAAAGCTAAGCACATTTTTTTCAAAAGGAATAAAGGCAATGAAATTTATTATGAAAAAAAAATGAGCCTTACTTTCCAAACAGCTGATAAAATTAAATGCAATGGTGACCACTAGTGAAGACAAAATGCAATTAAATAATTAAAACACCTACTTCTTCCTAATTAAAAATACAGCTTGAAAATATTTAAACAGTAGAGGCAGTTATAAAAACTGTCTCGGAGAACATACGACTATTAAACATACTATAAATGTTCACCTTAAGGAATTTAGGATCCCTGCATAAAACTTTTCAGGCTCTTTCACATTTCACAGGTAACAGAAAAGGGAGAGAAATTAACCATATATGTGACTGTATTTTGTTCTTTTGCTTTTTGCTGTATTTTCCTATTTACTTAATGACTATGTATACTTTTATAATGAAAATCCTAAACCCTAAAAGAAACCTTTAAAAAAAATCTTACTGAAGTTAGGTAAGAAAAAAAAAAGAATTAGATAGGAACTAAATAGAAAGGAAATGTGGTCACACACATACATGACAAAAAACGAAGAAAATAATTTTCTCCTGCTTGTTCCCCTTTTCTGTTCCCCAAAAGTGTCCCATTATTCTCCTCTACCAGTTTTATCTGGAGAGAGAAGTGACCAATGAAGAGGAATGAAGTGTCAATTTTTAGAACAGCCCAACCTCTAATTCCAGGCATAGTCTTGCTCGTAAACTAATGGAAACTTGGTTTGCTCATCTAAAGCCCAAATTCCCAGAGTGCCCAGAACAAGCACCTGCTCTCTGGAACTAAAAACAAGAAAACAGAATCTCAATATTAAAGCTAAAGGTTTTGCTCTTCATGTTTAACAGAAAAGCTAGTCTTCAACAACAAATACTGCATTAACACAGGCAGAGAAACTAATAACTCTGAGGATCAGAGAAGAGACAAGAAAAATCCTAGGCACTGTTTCAACCTGATGTAATGTTGAACTTCTCACATATGTCGTAAGGATCTATTTAAAATTCTGATATAAATTACATGTTTCTTCCTAAATTCCTCTTTGCCTGTCACCAGAACAGTAAAGATTTAGAAAAGTTAATACCGTAACACCTACTTTACCTTCAAAATATATTAACTTTTATTAAGTTCTTTTAGGTCTACCTTCTTCATTACGTAGATTCAAATATGACCGGTTAACATGTATTACTGCATAAATCTTAGATACCAATTGTTTTTGCTAAATATCAATATTTGAGTCAAAATAATGCTGAATTAGCAATATTTTCCTCAACTCTTTGCTGCAAACCAATAGTTGTTTCAAATATATACATTTTTAATTTACCTGTGTCTTCACTTACCTAGTTACCTGTGGCTTTCTAGCTTTGAGTATTAGGATACCAACTTTATTTTTACATAAGTGACATCTTGTGGTGTTAAATGGTATAACTTTTCCTTTCATGTTCAAAATAGGCCAGTTTTAAGTTTCAAAGGACAGAGAATATATAACTGAAGGGTTAAGGCAAATCTTACTATTACCAGGAAAGTCATTCTTATTTTAGCCACAGAATGAACTAGTAACTATAACTGAAAAATAAAGTTTACCGGTTATATATAAGAACTAGGGAAGTGTTAGGGTTTTTATGTAGTGTAAATTACCTCTCTTTTTAATAAATCTATAATCCATAACTCATTAAAACCTTCTACTCTTTCTAAAGACAACATAAATTAAGGGGAAAATTAAGACTATGTAGTACTGTACACTATATCAGTGCTACTCAAAGTATCATCTGAGAAAGTCTGGTCCAAGAATCATTACCAATTCACAAATTTGTTACTAAACCATGAGGAGATAGGTACCAAAATTCAGAATAAGCACATTGAGAAATGTGATGGAACAATTTGACAATGTAATTTTATGTTTATTGAATCTAATTTAAAAAGTGGGGGGCTTGTATTTTATTTTGTGTGCCTTTTTCATTTTATTTTTCTTTAATTTTATTATGTTTTTGTTTGTCGCCCAGGCTGGAGTGCAGTAGTGTGATCTTGGCTCATGCAACCTCTGCCTCCTGGATTCAAGTGATTCTCCTACCTCAGCCTCCTGAGTAGCTGGGATTACAGGTGTGCATCACCACAGCCGGCTAATTGTGTATTTTAAGTAGAGATGGGGTTTCACCATGTTGGCCAGGATTATCTCGAACTCCTGACCTCAGATCATCTGCCAACCTCAGCCTCCCAAAGTGCTATGATTACAGGCATGAGCCACCATGCCTGGTCCATTTTATTTTTCTAGTAATTTATTTTTTATTGTATTTTGTAGAAGTATCCATCTATATTGGACTGGAAATTTTAAAAAGAAAAAAGAAAGAACCTTTACCATTTGAGAGCCCCACACTACAAAGTTACCTTCTTTTTCCTCAAAATTATGGTACACAAAATTTGTGTACCATAGAAAGCAACACCTAAAACTTACATCCAGGAATGATGGACTGGAAAACTGATAAGGAATAGCAATTTCCAATCAGAGATACATACCCAAAAAAGGATGTATAAAAGGTTGGACCTTTATGGAGTCCTGCCAAAAATTTCCAAAACACAGGTACCTCTTTAAGCACAGAGAACCACTCCAATAAAAGATGCTACTATCCAAGTGGTGCACTGCAAATATGAATGGATGTGCAGGAAAAAACGCTGGAAACAGAGTCAGAACTTACCGTTTCCCAGTGCTATGTAGCCAAAGGGAGTGGCCCTCATAATGTTTTTGTGCAAAACATTAAGGCTTAGGAACATTTCCAGTTCACTTAGGATCTAAGCTGGAGAGTGCTCAGAACTTTGGCTCTTTCTGTTGACATCTGACACACATGACCACTACTCTTCCATCTTGAAATTCCCTCCTCCTTTAGATTCTGTAGCTCTATTCTCATCTGGTTCTCCATTCGCGTTTGTGACACAGCAATGAACAAAAATGACAGAAAAACCCTTGCCCCCACAGGGATTTCATTCTATTAAGTAAAAGAAACAGCAAACATAATAAGTAAGAAATTTTAAAATCATGAGGTAATACAGCAGGAAAACTTTTGGCACAAAGCATCCACTTAATAAATGCAACAGTGAATAGAAACAAAAAACTCCATTGCTAGTGTCTTTACCTCCTCACTCATCTATTAACTTTCTAGGCTGGGCACAGTAGCTCACGCCTGCAATCCCAGCACTTTGAGGGGCTGAGGTGGGAGGATCACCTGAGGTTGGGAGTTTGAGACCAGCCTGACCAACATGGAGAAACCCCATCTCTACTAAAAATACAAAATTAGCCAGACATGGTGGCACATGCCTGTAATCCCAGCTATTTGGGAGGTTGAGGCAGGAGAACTGCTTGAACCCGGGAGGCGGAAGTTGCAGTGAGCTGAGATGGTGCCATTGCACTCCAGCCTGGGCAACAAGACTGAAACTGAATCTCAAAAAACGAAAAACAAACTTTCTAAAAGTCAGAATCATAAATTATCCAAATAAATATGAATATTCCTCTTATACTGTTCACAAGATTAAAAAGAAAAAAGCCTACAGACACTTCCTCAACTCTTGGTAATCTCATTTACCCTTAATTTAAAATGTCTGTCTTACAGGGTAACAAATAACCTCTTAATTTAAAAATCCAAGGTAAAATCTCATGAATAGTTTCAGATTATTCCTCTGTACTTGTGAGGACTAAACTGACTGTTTTTCTCTCTTGCCCAAATTCCTAAGAGGCATGAGGAGTCATGCCCTACAAACCATAAATTCTCATCAGATGGGTTTTAATTTAACCCCATATAATGTGGTTTACTTTCCATCCTGACTCTAGCATAACATCACATGACATATAAAGAAGGCAATCAAAATATTTTACTCCAAAATATGCTTCTTTGCCATATTTTTGAACCAGTCCTGCAAAGCAGCCTTTTGTGGAAAAAAATCTGCATCTGTAAAGAATCTCTATTAACACAGTTTCCCCTTCCAGGCTCTAACAATTCTAAAGAGATTAACTGAGAGTCCAGCACCTTTTAAAGATCTGAATAAGAAACACTTTCCATCTACTGTCTCTAAGGGCAGCCACCTAAGAGACTTCATAAGAACCTTGGTCTCTACGGTCCTTTATCCTAACCCAGCCACACCTTTCTCTTGATCCCAGGTTTTTCGATAACAGCTTAACTCTTTCACCTAATTGCCAATCAGACAATCTTTAAATCCACCTACAACCTGTAAGCCCCCTGTTTCAAGCTGTCACCCCTTTCCCAACTGAGTCAATGTATACCTCACATGTACTAACCGATGTCATATGTCTCCTTAAAACATATAAAATCAAGCTGTAACCCAACCACCTTGGGCACATGTTCTCAGGATCTCTTGAGGTCATGGTTACTCATATTTGGCTCAGAATAAACCTCTTCAATTATTTTACAAAGTTTGGCTCTTTCTGTTGACATCTGATACATATGACCACTACTCTTCCATCTTGAAATTCCCTCCTCCTTTAGTTTCTGAAGCTCTATTCTCATCTGGTTCTCCACTCGCATTTGCGACACAGCAATGAACAAAAATGATAGGAAAAACCCTTGCCCTCATAGGGATTTCATTCTATTAAGTAAAAGAAACAAGAAACATAATACATAAGACATTTTTAAATCATGGGGTGACATAGGGGAAAAAAATAC